TTTTTCAAAAGGGAATATAACTGTTTTCGGGTTCTAAAAAAAACATAACAAATGCTTATAATCAATCATATTTGTTTGTAGCGAGGGGAAAAGACTTTCAGAAAACAGCGATAGGAGAAATAAAATATTTATTGTGGGAAGGAAAAAAGAATCCACGTACAATGCCCTTAATTAATTTAAAAAAATATATATTTAAAATTAGTGTGTAAATATAATTTTTGAGTTTTTATTTAATGTATAAAATTTAATATTTAATTTTTTAAATTATTAATTAATGTAAAAATGAAGAAAATTAAATGAATGATGAAACTGAAAATAATTTCAAGAACAATTAGTGAAATTTTGGGTTCTGGGAGTATTTTTGAAAGAAAATTCAAAAACTGAAGGTTAAAACACAATTTAGGAAAATTGTACTATGTAGGACGCACAGTCAGCAGTCTCGATGAATCAGAGTATGCCGCGTGGCAAGGGACGCGAACACGGTGCCACACGGGCAATCTGCATGTCCGCGATCGGACGATCCAAATTTGTTCTCGCACGCACGGACGATCTAAATTCGTTCCCTCCCCGAACGTGATCGGACGGTCAGATTTAAACGCGATGAAAGCTTCAGATTCACTTTCTATTTAAACACGATCAGACGGTTCAGATTAAATCACGATGAACGATTCAGATCCATTTCCTATTTAATCGTGATCGGACGGTCCAGATGAAACGCGATGAATAACCCAAATTAAAAGACGAAAGATATAAATAATCTTCTTCACACCAAACCCTAACTCTTGTCGCCAGACCCCCTCGCTGAAGAAGAAGACCCAATCGCCAAAAAGGAAGCCGACCGCCAACGTCGCCGCATCGGAACCACTTACGACCACCAAAAGAGGTAAAAAAAAATTTCTTTACTCGAAATTTGATTTTAAACACCCTCATGTCCAAATCGGAACAAAAAAATCGACGGATTAGCCAAAAACTACGGGCAACGCCTAGCGGAGTCGCTGCGGAAAAATACAAAAAACGCATCCAATGAGGCCCTTCTTGATTCTCGTTATGCATAATTCTTCCACAATTATAATCATCGTTTCCTTTTCTACAAATTGACCGAAGCAAAACACTAAACAGCAAAGATGAGCCGGCAAAACTGCCGCACCGGAGAACCTCGCTGCCGGTGAATTTCAATTTTTATTTTTATTTTTTTGGGCCAACTGAGGTCCTTAACATGTTTTCACATAGGAATTGATACAAATGCCGAAAACAGCCAACCTGAGACAAACTACCGTCGCGGGTGGCGGTGCCGAAATTCTGAAATTGACCGAAAAAGGGTACTAACACTGATTTTGGATTTTTTAGAATATTTCTAGGTATTTGAAGCGCGATTTAATCCCCAAAGAAAAATTCAGAGAATCTGGAAACCGTTAGTAGACGCAGTCAACAAGTTTAATATTTCAGATATCAATTTGAGTAAGAATCCCTTACCTTATTCTTTGTTATGGAATTGAAGTCTAATTAATAATAATAATACGGTATTTTGGGTAGTTTAGAAAATATCCATGATTAATTACATGTTACTACTGGAGCCAGAACCGAAAATTATTCACTGTTGATTTTGTTGATTTATTTTATAGTTTAAATGCATGATAATATCTGATTAATTGATCTTATAGTTTAAATGCATGTATTGCTTGCTTAATGTGATTATGATTGAATTGAGAAGCTGAAAATTAAAGGAAGTCAGAAAACTGTTTGATTAAGTGAATGGATAAAATAGCAGCCTTGTTGGACATTTTAGGAGATGGTGGACGGATCGGGTACATAGAAAATCATATCGTGAACATTGCCTTATACTGGACGGGGTATCGAGATTTAGTAATTTGGTGCTCATACCGGACGGGGTATTGAGGTTTAGTAATTTGACACTTATACCGGATAGGGTATATGAACCACCCGTTAATTTAAAATGTTAAAAAAAATAATTCACGTGTTGTGGGGACATCCATATGAACCCCATGGATACCAGTAGACTGATAAAAAAAGAAATTGTTATTCAAACATATTGCATATGAAATTATAATATGTGCTATGTTATTGTCTCTATAGGTTATTTTTGAAAATCTCACTACATTAAGTAGGCGGTAAATTATTTTATTTATGATAAACGATTTTGCTTAATTAAGAACTTCATTAGTTATTTTTATAATTTTTATCAACTTTCATTTATGTGTCAGTGACTAACATGATATTCTCACTGGATTAGTGTAGTTCATTCTTTCATTAACTATTTCAGATTAAGAGGATCATGATTCAGAGCCCGATCCACAAGAGAATTGCGAGTAGGACGTTCAGTCGTTTACTTTTAAATTATTTTATTGGTTATTAATTGTTCTTTTAGAAAGGTTATTCCCGTAAGCCTTATTTGGTATTTTAAGTTATTATGTAAGCAATATAAATCCTAACTATTTATTTCACTTCCGCACTAAATTTATAATTTATTTCATTTGAAATTTTCAGGATCGTTACACCAAGCAATGCAAGAAACATATAAATAAGACAAAATAAAATAAAATAAATACAAAAAAATTCATACCAAAATCTGTTTTTAGCTAAAGAGAAGATTGAGAAAACAGTGATAGAAATAACAAAATATTTACTGCAGGAAGGACAAAAAAATCAAAGTAATGCAATAAACATGTAAAGAAGACAAAATAAAATAAAATAAATATAGAAAAAATCATACTTGTTTGTAGCAAAAGAAAAGACTGTGAGAAAATAATGATAGAAGGAAGAAAATCTTTACTGCGTAAAGGAAAAAAAAAATCCAAGTAATGCAAGAAACATATAAAGAAGACAAAAAAATAAATAAATAAAGAGAAAATTATACTAAAGACTATAATCAATTGTGCATGTTTATAGGGAGAGAAAAAAATATGAGAAAACTGCAATAGAATGAAGAAAATCTTTACTTCAAGAGTCGTAAATGACATGCAAGCAGAAATAGTACGGTTTCTTAAAACTTCTAATTCGATAAAGGTTATATTTTTTCCAATAAATCTAATTATTTTCCGTTTTTGAAAAAAAAATATATATCAAATGCTATAATCAATCATACCAGTTTGTAGCAAGAGAAAATACTATGATAAAACACAATATAATGATGAAAATCTTTACTGTAAGAAGAAAAAAAAATCCAAGTAATGCAAACAATATATAAAAAAGACAAAAGAAAATAAATTAAATACGAATAAAATCATACTAGAGGCTATAATCAATCATACCTGTTTGTAGCGAGAGAAATGACTGAGAAAACAGCGATAGAATGAAGAAAATCTTTACTGCATGAAGGGAAAAAGAATTTAAGTAATGCAAGAAACATGTAAAGAAGACAGAATAAAATAAATTAAATACATAGAAAATCATATCAAATGATAGAATCGATCATACCTGTTTGTTGTGAGAGAAAAAACTTTGAGAAAACAATAATAGAAAGAATAAAATCTTTACTACATAAAATAAAAAAGAATCCAAGCAACACAAGAAACATGTAAATAATACAAAAAAAAAATAAATTAAAAACAAAAAAAAAACTAAATGTTATGATCAATCATACATATTTGTAGCGAGAAAAAAAGGTTACGAGAAAACTGTGATATAAGGAATAAAATCTTTATTGCAGGAGTCGCAAATGACATGTTGGATTAAAGGAGTACGATTTCTTAAAGCTTATAATTCCATAAAGGTTATATTTTTTTCTAATAAATCTAACCGTTTTCTGATTTTGAAAAAAAAATCATAATTTTATTTGAGAAATTACTGGGATTTTTTTTTTAAAATCAAAGGCTTTTTATTAAGTTAAAACAAAAGTTGAAAATAAAAAATTTAGATAGATAAATAAATAAATAATTTGTGCTATAATAGTTGAATAATATTTTCAGTGAATATCTTTTTAACTTTATATTAAATTATATTATTAATTTAATAGTTTTAAAATAAGAATTATATTAATTTATTATTAACAATTTTATGATAAATTATTTAAGTAATAAACACTTCTTTGTATTTTATTTTTTAGTCGTTATATATATTATATTCATTGAATAAATGATCATCCAATAATTCTTATTCAGAGTATTTTTGGATTTTAAATTAAAAATTTATTGAATTATTGTAGTTTTAGTATAAATACGAAGTTTTAATTGATTCGTAGAGTTTTAATAAGAGAGTTTCTATCAATAATAAAAAAAAATAAGAATAAGGCCACATTATATACAAATACAAAATAAAAAAAATGAAGAATTACGCATACTTATTTTTTAATACAAGTAATTGCGAGATTTACTATAATTTTTTATTATCGTTCGACTATTATTAAAATCTTTACTTATGTTCAGTACATAACGATTGAAGTTAAATTTGATTGGTTAGTTTGATTAGTTCATCGATGATCGACAAATATGATAATTTTATGATGATTTTGTATGTATTTCGCGTATATTTCACAGATAGTTTTAAAAAACTCGCAAATTAACTTGGGTTACTGGTGTAGTTATGTATTGATTGCATCTTTTTTATATAACGAGGTATTCCTTACATTAGGATCAAATTGGTACTTTAAAATTAATATTTTTATTTAAAAATAATTTATCTGAAAGTTTTATTATTAGAGTAATTATTCTAATGTTCTAGCAATTTTATTTAAAAATATTTCAATTTGCAGGCCCTCTGGGCTTGAATGACATTCAAGTAACTAGGGAACAAATGATGTATAGTATTATTCACCCGACCCGACCCGACCCTGATTCTCTTCTTCCCCAAACCTCATTCCAATTTATTTATTTAATTAAATGACCTTATGCGACTTCCTAAAACCCCAGTAAACCTCTTCTCAAAACCTCAGCGCTTCTCAGCTCCCTTTTCCACTTTTGCATGAAGTAATCTGGCAGGTAATCGACCGAACCGGTGAAGTCGCACGTCTTGCCGCCGTCACCATTGTTGAACTTTGTCAGGTTCTTCTCTTGGCTTGACATGCTATTTTGGCTTTAGGTTTGAGCTATGTTAGAGAATGGCTAGAACATTGATGTATCAGCTGCTAATGGAGATAGTTGTGTTAGAGTTATTATTTTCATTATTATCAGTATTCTGAGAAAAAAAGCATTTAGAACTATTTATCGTCTTCTCATACTTCTAGTCTGTGAAAGGGTACAAAACAGTTTTCTGTTTCTACAACGCACAACCCTACCTTTTCTTTGTTGCAGCTATAGTGGAAGTAACACTACCCTATTTCCTTTTTTTCATGTAGAGATATACGTCATCTCAGATTTATATTTGAAGAAATTGTTTTCTTTTTCTGTGATGCTCAGTTTTCGTGTATGTGAATTTACCGTTTTTGATATTGTCCGTGATATTATTGTTAGGCTGGTTGGTTTATTCTATTTTTCCTGTCCTCCCCCCTACCCCCTTTTTTTTTTCTTCTGTTAATATGAAATGTCTTAGATATTTTAATTGATTTTTGTCAAATTGATTTCATAATCTGGAACAAAGAACAGACGCTTTCTTGATGGTTGATAGCTTAGTAACTCTGCTTACCAATAATTCAAGTCAATGTTCAGAAACTTACAGATAATGGCACTTGGCAAGAGGTGGCTAGAAGTTTTTTAGTTCAGATTTATTTTTAGCTTGCACTTCAGTTTCAGTGTCAGAATGATTGGCTTCATTAGGTTTTCATGTGTGTGTGTGTGTGTGTTTCACTTTATTTCCTCCTAAATGTGGCAAAAAAAGAGAATAAATGTGATTGGAGTCAACTCAAGTTAGTATATCCAAAGGAATATCAATCTTTTCTGAATTATTTTACCATAAATCTCCGCGCAAGAAACATGTTCTCACAAGGGTTTGTATTCTCTTTTGATATTCTTGATCCCTCCTTTTGCTCTTTTGATATTTCTGTTTTGCCTTCCCAAAGTAATAGCTGACTTTGGTTGTCTAGCTTTCAATTTGTATTCTCTTACGTAACGCATGGCTACACAAGAGGAATAGATATTTTGGGTTGTTCCTTTTTTATATATAAATTAATTTAGCAGATTCTTTCTAGACTAAGAAATAGCATGATATTGCTTGACACATCTTTAGAATAACATTTATAATCAAATAAGGTCTTCATAATTCTTTTGTCAATTTATTTGGTTAAAATATCATTAGCCATTGGTGGCCCGAAATTGTGAGATGTGGAAACCTGAGAGGGGCTCTTTGGATCTTGGATTGCATACCTAGAGCTATAATTGCTCGAGTATTATTGGTAGCTGCGATCCCCCCCTTTTTAGATCTCACTCCCCCATACTAATTTGTAGTCCTATTTCATTTCATGGCAATTATGTCCTTTGGGTTTGGGATGGCGAGGGGTTTGTCCCTACAATTTCACAGTATTTATACTATAGCTTGCAATAGGGATGCCACTGTCAAGAAGTCTTTGGTGAGTCCCCAAGGTAATGAAGAATGATGTTTAGAGTTGAGTAGAAATTTAAATGATTTGGAGACGAAGGAGATATATGAATTTTATGGAATCACTTTCATTGACAAGTGGATCACACAATTGTAGACAAACCAATTTGGAAGTTGAACTATTTGTGAGTCTTCTTGGTGAAGTCATATTATGTAAATTTGAACATTTGTGAGATGGAGGGGGAAGATTTTCCAGATTAAGAGACTTGGAAGATAAAGGTAATCTGACCTTTTTAACATGGGAATGTGGGAGGTAGTAAGGGAATGCATTACAACTTTGGACAAGTTGATAAGGAGAGGAAAATTCTAGTGAACAAATGCTACTTGTGTAAGAGAGATACAAAATCCTGTAATCACATCCTCTTGTGGCGCCCGTTTGCACGTCGACTTAGGAGCTTGGCTTATGATTATTAGGGTTTAGTTTGGTGATTGTTGGATCATGGAAGGAGGAGCTTTGTTCTTGGAGAGGCATCCAAGGGGTTAAGAGGTTAAGACTTATCCTTTGGCTACCTTTTGGATCATTAAAAAAATTGAACAAAAGAAATTT